TAAGTGGTGGATATTGCAGCTTATTATGACACATCATGACTTAAGTACCTACAATATTAAGTTAACGACACTTTTTTCAAATATAATTTATTCCGTTATAAAACACGAACAAAAAGTCAGACCATTTCATTAGTAAAATTCTCAGGCACTCATAATCCTTTTGCCTAATGTAAATGAATGTCAAGCAAGCAATAAATTAATGTTAAGCTTAATTAACCTGAAAAATTAAAAATAATGCCAAAAAGAACTACGTAAATACTAACTTTAAACGTTCGTTTTCTAAATAAATATATATGTATGTATACGGGTGTTTAATGTATGGTCCAGGAGGAAGTGAGGTTTGTCTAGTTTAGAATGTGACAGCCGTGTGTAGGATATAATATTTTTCTATATTACACAAAGATGGACGGGTTGGTATAGTCTTTGTTTCAATTATTCCTTCTCTTTGCAGTGCTGTTGTCTTGTAGTTTAGTTCCTTAGTCGGCTCTTACGACACCCACGGGATTAATAGGGGTGATGATATTCCGTATTCCTAATGATTTAGCTACAACTGCCAACATACCATTTTACATGTTCAAAAGTATTAATTTAATGGTATGATTTTTCATGTATAATCCCTAAGGAAGGTTGGCGTCAAGCAAATGACAGACTAAGCAAACACACCAAAAACTATTTACTTTATTTTATTTATTTACAAGAAGAAAAGAAGAAGAGAACTCAACTCACCAACCCCAAATGAATTCTGGAGAAGGGTAGAGAGATCATATTAATAAACTTACAAGTTGTAGAATTTATACATATTGTACAAATAACCAATCAAATTATAAATCACCTAAATCATTTTAAGCAACTTACGCGTGTTTTCTACGGACATTGCGTTGTACACGAACGGATGAGAAATTAATTACTTTCTATTATGGTATTATCACCTACAGTTGTCAGCAGATATCGTGATCAAAAGTGATGTTCTGAACATGTTGACAACTGACGACTGGATGGCGTAGTGGTTTGTGTAACGGACTGCTATTCCAAAGGTCGTGGGTTCGATTCCCGCTCAATTCAAACATTTGTGTGCATGAACATTTGATGTTTGATTTGGTCTGGATGTTTCTATGTATAATATGTATGTATTTACAAAAAAAAAAGGTATATATGTATTTATATCAGTTGTTTAGTACCCATAGTACAAGCTCTGCTTAGTTTGGGACTAGATGGCGTTGTGTGAATGTGGTAGATTAAAAAAAAAAAAAAATGAGGAAAGTCAAAATCACTTTCAACGAGCAGACGGGTCACCTGATGGTAAGCACCTACCGCCGCCCATGGACACCTGCAACTCAAAAGTCACAGGTGCGTTGCCGCCCTTGGAATCCCTTCCGCTCAAGTCAGCGGGAGGGGGGATTTAGGCTCCGGTAACCTCACTCACTCAGTGAAAGGCAACGAAAGAATTGCTGAACACCGGTTTTCTGTGAGGCCGTGGTATCACATGTCCATGTCCCATTGGTGACGTAAGCCCAGATTGTGGTTATTTTTATATAAAAGCTTTGTAAGTTTAGAAAAAAAGGAACTTATCATGATTGTCCGAAATATCATCACCAACTTCATCGACAGCCTTTCATAGTCCACTGCTGAACATAGGCCTCTCCTTAGAAAGTAGGTTTTGGCCTACTATACCATGCTGGCCAGACGGGTTGGTTTCAAGCGTTTGTGTCAAGTTTTCCTTCTCTTTGCAGTGATATTGTCCGCCGTAGTTTGCGCTGCTAGTCGGCTCTTCCCCACCCACGGGATGAATAGGGGTGGTGATACTCTGTATTCTTAACTTACCTATAACCACGCGGACCAATGCGGCGCGGCCGACGGATGGCGAACGTCCAAAGTATGCGCTTGCGCTTTCCCTGGTTTCTATTGATTAACTTTATATCACATATAGTTTAAAAAATATTTTTTGTACTTATAAACACGAAGTATTCCAAATGCGAAATGCTTCCGTGTGTTATATTGGTATAAAAAGAAAAAGGAAAGGTAAAAAAAACAAAGAAATTTCAAAGTGAATTTGTTTGTTTGTTTGTTACGCTTTCACCCCTAAACCACTGAACCTATTTTAAAAATTATTTTACCAATGAAAAGCTACATTACCAGCAAGTAACATAGGCTACTTTTTACCGCGAACCCGACATACACACGGGTGGAGCAGCGGGCAATAGCTAGTACATAGCTATATCACAATCAGGAGACATCGCTGGCAGCCGAATATAGGTTGGTTCAAAAACGCCCGCTAATCACTGTTCCGGTTAAAATGTACGGCGATGTTTTTCTAGACAATCTTTTACAAATTGCGTGCAATACTTTAATGGTTAAACAAAGTTTCATTTGTTGGTAGCGATAGAAGAACTGTCATAAATTTTGTTGTGTTTTTATATAAAATGGGAATAGAAGAACTCAGAAGCCAGAATAATATTTAAATAGGATCGTATTTCTTTTATAGATATGCATTTACCAGTTTTTCCCTAAACGAAATTCAGTAAACGAAAGATAATAATTATGGAATAATAACAAAAAAAATCTAGGTATAACTTTTAAATTGACATATAAATATACGATATTTTAAAATATATTAATTAATGCAAATACGTTATCAAAACCTCGCAGGTCAATGCAAATAGATATTATTATGAAAATGTTCTCTGAGCGGGAATCGAATCCGCAATCTCTGATGCAGTCAAAAGCTGTACCATCGCATCATACCATATACCAAATGATTGACAAGATGTGAATATGAATAAGCTAAGTAGGTATATTCGTCAGATATAAATTAAAATTTAGATGTTTATTTAATTATGAAACTGACTTAATCCTTACTTTTGTCGTAAATAGACAAGAGAGTCTGTTTTTTTACAGTTTTATTTTTTATTTTTTTTTATTTTTTATTTTTTTTATTAAAAAAAGACAACTCCCGCATTAGGAAAATATCCTGTGTCGCGGGGGACTTTACAAACATCCATGAAACGGACACAAATAACACCCAGACTTGGAACAACAATTTGTGGATCACACAAAGTGTCGTCCCATGTTGGGTTTGAACCCACAACACTCGGCGTAGTAGGAAGCGGCGTGGCGACCGCTTAAACCACTACGCCATCCGTGCAGTCAAGACAAGTTTTATGTCTACTCATCTGATCAGACCACCAAACAAACACCAAGAATGTATTTACACCTGACGATTCAGGGGTACACAACCTTTTCTGGTGGTACACACACCTTTTTGTTTATGTAATCCAAGGTACACCATTTCATTACATAGGATATATTTCAATCAATAACACAAATGAATTCTAGCAATAATAATAGACGGGCTGTTGGTTTAGCGGTTAGTGACCCTGACTGCTAAACCGGAGTTCGTGGGTTCGATTCCCATCCAGAACAAATACTGTGTGATGAGCACGGTCATTTGCTCGATGTCTGGGTGTAATATATGTATAATATGTATCTATTTAAATACATATAAGTAAGTATGTTCATCAGTAGTCTGGTTACCATAGTACAGGTTCTGCTTGGTTTGGGATAAGACGGCCGAGTGTGAGATGTGTAATAAAAAAAAATAACGTAAGTGAAAGCTGGCAAGGCTGCGTTAAAACAAAAAAAAAGTTAACTTTAGCAGCACAATTTTAATGTAAAATTTATTCAAATATTAATGTAATGAAACAATTTTAGAAACAAGATGACGCCACTAATTGTATGGATATAATTAGTCAAACTGTTAACTTTATGAATCGTACCAGATGGCACTTTACAACTGCTGGCCTTATTAGCAGTGTAAATTTGACAAATCAAATATAATCTGCTTCTTGGGATTTTAATGTACAGTACATTAAAACCTTTACAAAACGGTTTTAGTAGTTTTTTTATACTATGCATCTATTTGCAAACTTTTTTGAAAAAGTTTTCGGTTTAAGAAATAATGTACTTGACGCCTGGATCTAGCGGAGGTCTACCTGACTGCTAAGCCGGAGGGCGTGGGTTCGATTCCTACCCAGGATAAATATTGTGTGATGAGCACGGTCATTTGTTCTGAATGTCTAAGTGTAATTTAACTATAATGTGTATGTATTTAAAAATATATAAGTATGTTTATCAGCAGTATGTTTACCATAGTACAGGCTCGGCCTAGTTTAGGATCAGACGGCCGTGTTTGACATATTTTTATTATTATAACTACATTATTGATTACTAACTGCATTATTGGGAAGTATTAGACTTTAATCCAATTGGTTTTAGAAGCTAAGCTATCACTGTTAAACGAAAATTGGATCAAACAAAGTATAAATAAAGATTAGGTAGTATTAGGTAAGAAAATTCACACTCAGTGCAGAGCGTCGAAAGGATAGCCTAAAACCAATTTTTCGTAAAGCTGTGCATCAATTTTCTACTAAGTTTCATTAATAATTTTATGATTACCGCTAATTTCCTACTACCTAAAAGATGCTTTGTAATTTCATCAATGAGTGTGTTGCAAAGGTCGTATTCAGTTTAAAAAAAATTCAGCAGTGTCAAAAATGTTTTGTATATTTTATTTATAAATATTACCTACATGGTATATTAACTTATTTGCGATCGTTACATATGAAAGTAAAATACTGATTCAGTGTACCAACTGGCGAAGTATAGCAAAGCGAAACGAATATTTTTTACGAATACTTTAACAACAGACGATAAAACACCTTAAACGTACGGATCACGGAAAATAGTTGAGTAAAAATGAATACAGTTGAAAGAAAAGTGGTGTACGGCAACATACACATGCAACTAAAGAACTCAATGAAAAAAATAACGCACACGCTGTCTGCTGTGGTCAGTGCAGCGTGACGCCAGATAAAAATGATCAGGCAGCAATACATTGACTCATTATCCAAGTAGCCATCGATGTTGATGGTACGGAAAAGTGTGACCTACAAATGGATTGGTGAATGCCTGTGACACAGTGTTAGTGAAAGACAACGGTGAAAATGAATCCCCTAATCATTTTTGTTGCTTTTATGCTGATGAGGGATGCTAGGGCGATAGTTGAACTGGACTGTAGCGACAATGCTACATGTATCGATAATATGGCGAAAGAGATCATTAGGAGTGTCAGGCAACAAAGAACTGTGAAGGTGTTTAATGTGCTGACAATTGAACCACTAAGGACGAGACAAGCGAAGATGGCGAGATCCACGGATTCTTGGCTGGAGACATTCTTGGACGGTAATGCGTTCAGCTTTGACTGGAATGATTACACCTTCAAAGTGTCACAAGCTGATAATAGCAATGCCTTAGATTTAGAGGTATATCAAGCACGAACTGCTAAAGGTAAGAATAAAACCAATGTTCTTTTTTTAATAAAAATATTACGAGTAGGCAATGTGTCAATTAAAATTGAAAAAGAAAAAACATTTTGCAACCAAATCTGAAAGTCTTTCAAATTTGCAACTTATTCAAATTAGTAGGCTTTAAAATGTACTAAAAAATATTGTAATACAATTCAAATATTTACATTATTTACATGCAAGTATCAAACAATTCCTTCACATATTCGCTTATTTGTCGCGTGCCCAGAAGACTGGTAGCTCTCTGCTAGAAAAACTCCGGCCTTTTGATCAAGATGAAATTTGAATTAAAAATATAATGAAATTTGAATTATCCGTATCACATATTATATCAAAAGAAAGTTAGGAACATGACATTGACTTATCAAATGTTCATAATCAAATTAATGTTCACCGTGTTAATTATGTCTGCACGCTTTGTTGGGCTTATCGGATCGTTACCGTATAAGGCCATGCGTGCATATTCTCACCAGGTTCTAATTAAATTACTTGATGAGTTTCTAATACCAGTCTCTAAGTCTTTTATTAATTTAACTTCAGTATAAACAATAACTGTCAGTTAAAAGTTCTGTTCTTAGAGCTTGCAGATACTGTAATCAAAAATCTGTCATCTGTGAGAATAATAGCTTTTTGAAAACAGTTTTGAATTGTAATTTGCTGTTATGTTCTCTGACAATGTTATATTTTATTAACTTTTGTGAAATTTTAAGGTATTATTTATTTGTTTAAAAATTCCTCTTTATTAAAGTTAAGTTTGCCAATGACACGTCATGTTTATTCTAACGTACAACGAAATTTCAATTTGATAAAATTCTCTGAATTAATTCTGTAATCTCTACAAATCCTTTGTGGCACTGTCAAGTCAGCGTGACATTAATTCCTTTGAAAACTTTTCCTCCGAATATATGACGTTGGCGAAAATTTTAACTTTATTTGGGAAGCGGTGTGCTAAAATACCATTATGCCTAATGAGTAATTGTACATGAAACTTTTCTTCTGCTGGCTTCCGCTTTCAAAAATCTGATTATGATGGTATATCTTTTTACGTTATTTGTGTGATACATGAATTGTGTACTACATCGTCAGTGATATATTTCACACTTAATTATGTACATCCGCTATCTAAATCATGCTATGCAGTAATTATCTTCGTGAAATTATGTTCTGGCTTTCATTCTAAAGAATTTTTCTTAACATCGTCATCTTGTGGATCGTTAGTTAGTGTTTCAATGAATTATTTATAGGATTTGTTAGTCTATCTTTAGTGTTAGATTTCTTATTGGTGTATGTAAGTGTGGTTTTATTTTTAATATATTGTTACTCAAATTAGGAGTAACCTATGTGTGTATGAATTGGCAGCGTTTGAATTAATATTTGTTCCTCATATTATTAACAATCTATAAAATATAATTTTTATTTTATACCAATACGTATTTCTGAAACTATCACTAAGGAACCCTAGATTTCTAGGTTCTAGAATATTTGAGCGCTTTAGTAGAAGTACTTACTTAGAACAGCTTAAGAGAGGACTAAACACAGGTAGGTAATTTTAAAAGTATTGTACAACTGTTTTTGTATTAAACAAAATGGACTCTTCCGTGACGCTCGATAATTATCGTTTATAATTACAATATCAGTACGGCCATGTTTTATTTTCTTCTCTCTTTATTTAAGAAAAGGGATTTTTGTACATAAAAATGACGATGTCAAACTAGTATGGCCATGATGTTAGTCACATTGGCATAGGTATTTGGAATGTAGTGGCTTCACTCATATATTGCAATAGTTAGAAAAGCCATTCAACACTTAAGAAAATAAAGAGTCTGTACCAAATTATATCCTAACATCAACCAAAGCTTTGGCTACACCATCAGGTAAAGGATTTCTACCACTAAAGTTTCTAATCAGTCAGAGTTGTGTTAGTAAGTAAGATCCCTTTATCCAAATCACAAAATATAGCCAAGAACCATCTCGGTCACGTCGGGTTTCAAACAAAAAAACGCATCATAATCGGTCCATTCGTTAAAGAGATACGATGCCACAGACAGACACATAGACAAGTAAAACTTATAGCACCCCTCTTGTTGCGTCAGGGGTAAAAAATTACGATACATAATATTGTTCTGACTATCACGACGTAACCTTGATAATCGTACGAACTGTCGATACGTACGAACTGATGATAGCACGGAGCTGAATAAGAAAAGAATTTAGCCACATACTAGTGAGGCTGATCCTTCTTCTGTTCGCAACCCTGTGATGAGTAAATGTAGGGAAGATCTAAATGTGTTAAAAATTTTCTTAAATGTAAAAATAAAAGCAATCTTGCACTCTCTATAAAGCTTTTTTTCTTCAATTCTTCAATTCTGTATTAATTTACAAAAGTTTTTTAAGTAATAATGCCTAAATTAGGAACAAATTAGATATCGTTTTCTAGAACCAAAACTAAATAGAGCTTATATTATGTGCACCGGAACTACAAAAGCCATTTGGCACACATTTGGCCAAAGCCACACACACATTTGGGTAAAAATGTTAATCACAATTTTGGTGAACTGAGTATCTTTTACAAAAATAATTCGTAATGTACATTGCTAATGAAATTTTGTATTGTTGGAATCTTAAAGCCTACTTGCCTTAGATAGTAAGCTATAACTAAATATAGACCCGTCAGTGGTTTATAACAACGGGTGAATGAACGATGAATAAAGCAGCGATGTTGTAGTAAGGTTAGGAACCTAGCAATAAAGACCATTGCGGTTTCAATTAAGATCTCAAATTTGAATCACATTTAGTATCAAACAATTTAATTGTTTTGTATAAGACAATATGTATTCCCACACTCCGACACTGGTTTTCGTTTTTGGGATTTGGGACAATTTTTGGGAAATATCGTGGCCATGTGTAAGACTAAAAAACTAAATTAAATTGTTAGCTATTAGCTGAAATTTGCATTTAAATTACTAATCAATATTCCTAAAGGGGAAGAGAAAAACAAATACCTCGAAATAATGTTTAGTATTCAATTTTCATTTAAGATCATTTCCTGAGATCCTTAACTTCCTTAATTATTACTCTAACTCACTAATTAAAACAATAGCATAACAGCATTTAATAAATCAGAAGCTATTCAGTGTTTAGAGTTAATATCAGTAAGTAACTGAATCATTAGGGATTGTTCATGCCTGAATATTTAAAGCTAGCTTTCAATATTTATGGATGAATAATCCAGAATTTAATATTTCTGAACTATACAGATAAGAGAATAGGTAACATGCACGATAAACACGCATAAACTTGTGTCGTTGGTATGGAAATATATATCGCTTAGTTTAAGCTAATAAGCTAATTGAATCTACTATTTACGGTAGATATCGGTTCTTTATGTATGTATGTATGTTTTACATTGTACCCTATCTTACCATCATTATCCATTTTACATATAATATCGATAGTTGGTAGATTTTTTATGGTATAGTATGCAAAACAGCAGACGGGTAATCTGATGGTACACCGCAGACCGTGGTCACCTGCATCTGAAGAGATATAAATAATCAGTATGCGAAAAGCAATGCAGAAAAAAACAAAAACTTGGAAAAAACCCTATACCTACCAACCCGTCTGGCCAGCGTTTTATAGTGGACCAAAACCTCCTTTCTAAGGAGAGGCCTATGTCCAGCAGTGGACTGTAATAGGCTGTTGATGTCAAGGCCTCCAATAGTGATAGAAGTATTGTTGATGCTTTTGTTCGGCATGTTAGGCATAAGTTTATCATTATTTTTAAAATTTTTAGCAATTTCTGAATTCATCATCATCATCAACAACCTTTAGTAGTCCACTGCTGGTCATAGGCCTCTCATTAGAAAGGATGTTTTGGCCTACTGTGTCACGCTAACCAGATGGTTTAGTATAGGGTTTGTTTTAAGTTTGCTTCTCTTTGCAGTGCTGTTGTCCTGTGTAGTTTACTCCTTTAGTCGGCTTCTACAACACCCATGGGATGAATAGGTGTGTTTACACTCCGTATTCTTAATCCGTCGCCACACGCACAGACACTACAACCTAACTATCTTCATAAATAACATTACAATTCTAATATTTTTCTGTGGTCATCAAAGATTTGTTTGTTGCTAATGGTAAATCAATCAACATCAAAATAATGGTTTGAATTCAGAACACTGCTCAAATTACATTTTGATGTCAAATGGAAAAGACTTATTGTTTTTTAAACAAAGCCACCTTTTGAAGTTTGTTAATAAGCTGGAAGAACCAATTTCACGGACGCTTACTTGGACTTAATCGCTGTACTTGTGTTGTTATAGTAACAATACAATCAGGAATGGAATAGTTAAACTAAGAATCCCAGGAAAACAAGAAAATCCCTTAATAAAGAGCACTAAAAACCTAGCAGCAATCGCGGTTGATTTGCTGTTATTTTTTTAGGAGTTCCGTTGACTGTATGAAATTTCAATGGTACCAGTTTTGGAAAACCCCTTTCGAACAAAAAAATAATTTTGAAAAGCCATCTATCACATATAAATATATATAAACATCCCAATTGATAAACAACTAAACAAACTTTAACCAAAATGCACCTACTTCCTGTTCTCTCTGCATCACCCAAACCTTGACTGGTAGAGAATGACTTAGGCATTAAGTTCGCCAATGCACCAAAAGTGCATGATGAATTAATAAATGACCTTCTCCTTTTTGAAGCCGGTTAAAAATACTTATACATTTGTTTTTATGGTATAAGGTGGCAAACGAATGTTATGGTCACCTGATTCGGAATCAGGAAGTAGGGGGGGGAGGGGAGGTTAGGTGTCGTCTATTGAGCTCTGGTATCACTCCGGTCGAGCCGGCACCTGGCCCCGTAGTGGCAGCAGGCTTTACTTCTTGTTACTTGTGTCCCGTTTTATGTAAGACCTGAAACGGTTGAGGATTCTACAGGAGGACACACACATTAAACTGTACTTACATCTTTAA